TGCAAAATTGGGAAAGGGAAATCACTGAACATGAAGGTCACAACGGCCCACAACCTGAGCCCTAGACACACTCATGATTTGTCAGCTGGGAGTTTTTTTTCTTAAGTACTTGTTAATGCTAGATTAAAAAAAAAAAATCTTGATTTCCAACCCCTCTTGTAAAATCTGCACTGTTAGTCTGGTGTTGCTGCCTAGTATAAAAGGTTGTCCCCAAGTAGTATCTGTGCCTTCCAGGTGGTCCCTGTGCTTTGGGGGCCCACTCCTCTTTCTGGGTCTGTGATAGCCCTGTCTTGGGGCAGCTCATACTTGYTGAGCCAGACATTGGTCTAGACCTTCCCATGTGTTAACTCTGACCCTAATCACTGCCCTCTGAGGGAGTTCTGCCATTGTCCTCATTTTCCGGATCAGGTAACCATGGCACAGAGGGGTGGAGCYACACAATTAGTGATGGCATTCTGGGCTCCAGAACATTAGGCTGTCAACTGTCATCAGTCTGCCCTGTTCTTTTCCCATTTCCAGTCCCTGTGGAGATGCAAGGGAGGATGCACCCAGGCCTGGCCCATTCTTTACCTGCCAGATAAGGAAACAGACTATGAGAGGAAGGATATGCAGGCTGAATAACAGCTGCCCAAAGTTGTCTATGTCCTAGCCCCAATTACCTTATTGACTCTGTGCAGACATGATTAAATTAAGAATCTTCGATGCAGAAATTACCCTGAATTATCTAGGCAGGCTCTAAATGCAATCACAGAGTCTTCATTAGAGGGAGAGGAGGAAAATGAAGAGGTATGACAATGAAAGAAGCTAGAGTGATGAGAGGAAGAAGCCAAAAGCCAAAGAATGAGGCAGCCTCTAGAAACTAATAAGGACTAGGACACAGATTTTCTCTTAGAGTCTCAAGAGAATAGAGTTCTGTCCTCTTGCATCATCAGGCAGTAAAGGTGTGTTGTTCTGAGCCACTGAATTTGTGGCAACCTATCACAGCAATAAGAAGAAACTAATATAGTTGGTAACATTCAAGATGCCAAAGCTGGTCAGGAACATGGGCCTAACCAGTCTCTGAGAGCTGTGACTACTTCTGAAGAGGGGCTGAGGTAATCTGAGGGCAGGGGAGGGGCTCTGGAGGACTCTGAGCCACGCGGCAGCCTGTGCTCTGCCTGCCCAGCCCCCTGCACTGTTCTTTCCCCGGCTAAGCAGGCCTTGGCCTTCCTGCCCTTGTTTRTCAGGATACCCACCTCCAACCCCTGCCCCCATGGCCTGTGTGACCCAGTTACCTTTCCTGGCATTGATCAGTGACCAGGAGAGCAAATTCTTCAGCCTTTGTGCAAGTGCAACTCATTAGAAATGTATTTACACTCATGGAGGTGATTGCACAGGGTTAGGAATTGTGGTGAACAATTCTAGCAAAGAGGAAGTTAGTGACACACTGTAAGCGTTTGGGGCATCAATCATGTACACTAACATCTGTCTCTGAGATGGCTCCRAAAGCAGTACAAAGTGTAAAGGGAATGGAAAGAGAAAGAAGCATGTACAGACCCTGAGTTCATAGTAAGAACTGGGTTTTACCTGTGACATGTCCTTAATCCTCCAGCACCTGGCATCTTATCCAAAAAGATCTAATGCTCAGAGGGTACCTCCCACATACCCAGCTCTGTTTTAGGCATTTTACATATATTAATGTACATCACTACCCTATGAGGTGGGTCTTCTTAGCCCCATTTTATGAGTGAGGAAATAATCAGAGATAATGATACTTACCAAGGGTCAAAGAGGAGCAGAGCTAGGATATGAATCTAGCAGGCTTGCTCTGACCCACTCTGCAGAAGGCAACTGAGGCTTAGGCACAGCAGACCTTTGCTTCTAACCCTAACTAGAACTAAATGCTGTAAGTTCAGGACCAGAACATTAATCCATCAGACACAAAATTCAAAAGTGTTTTCTATCAGGCTAAGCTACCCAGATTAGGAAACCAGCGAGAGATTGCTGCAATAGGGCAGGTGAAWAGGGCCTTCTCGAGGGCAGACAGGATGGCAAGGGGCAAGTGGAGATCAATAGAATTTGGCAATTGTGAGCAGCAGCAATCTGAGTTGAAGGTCTAGGCTTAAAGGTCTCATGGGGGTCCTGGAAGCTGTGCAGCACCATGATACCTGGGCTCTATTTAAGGAGTAATTGATTCTGCACAACCCCCTTTATCTCTTGAGGTTTCAGTCTTGTCTCCTGAAAGCCAATTTGGGGGCTTCTGTGATGTGAGGCCCTTTTTTGGCATCAAGTCTCAGGTTATCAGGGTCCTGCAGATGGCTAGTCTCCCTCCCCCTTTGCACCCCTGCTCCCTTGCTGTGCTGGATCCTTGCTGTTATCCAGAGTTCTGCTACCCAGGAGCCACTGCCAGGTGCTCAGAGGYCCCCAGAGAATTCCTTTACTCCCCCCTCCCCTTCAAGGAGCCAGGGCTGATGCAACCTGACTGCAACTGCCACCTCACTCCCCAAGCTAGGCCCCTCCGCACTGAAAAAGAGTCCCCAGCAGCCCCACCCTTGCTCCAAACTCCTACCAGAGTTGAAGAGTTGGGCACCTGGACCCTAGAGGACTYTGTGAGGCTGGGAGAGGTCAAGGCATCTGAGTCCAGAGGGTCTAGGTCAGGAACAGATATTGGTAAGGGATCAGGATTCTAAGAGCTGGGGTGGCAGGGAGCCACTGATAACTCACCATCACAAACTAGAATATGCTAGGAAAGGCTGGATAGCTAAGTGTGTGAACTGGCACCCACTCAGCAAAACTAAGTCAAACTGCTTAGGTAGCAGCACAGGTAGCTGAGAGAGAGAAAAGGGCACAAGAGGATGAAACAGAGGGGCCAGAATCCTGGCACCATTACCTTCTCAGTTAGTACTTGCCACATATAGCCAGAAACAAGATTCCCCTACTGAGAAAGGGCATGTCTAGTTTTTTTTTTTTTTTTGGGGGGGGGTTGTTTATACTGTACTGGAGACTGAACCCCAGGAGCACTCTACCACTGAACAACCTCCCAGCCCTATTTTACTTGAGGCTCGCTCTCACTAAATTGGTGAGGTTGGCCTTGAATTTGCAATCCTCCTWCCTCAGCTTCCCGAGTAGCTGGGATCACCAACAAGCACGATTACACTTGTTTTTTTTTTTTTCATTTTTGTTTACTTTTTATTTTTGCACTTGGTTTTCCCAGTTAACAGAAAACAAAGGCATTAGGGAACCACTAGTGAAAYTGGAACAGAGTGGCATTTAGTCAAAGGTAATGCACTAATTAATGTTTGAGACAAATGTGTCCTAGTAATAATACAGGATGTTAACAAGGGGGAAAACTGGGTGAGGGCATGAAGAAATATCTTTGTAACTTTTCTAAACAAGACCTATGGGCTGGGAATGTAGTTGCTGAGGCTGGCCTCAAATTTGCAATCCTCCTGCTTCAGCACCCTGAGTTAGCTGGAATTATAGGCATGTGCCACCATGCCCAGCAAKCAGTTTTCACTAGTTAGCAGCAAAGACAGAACATATCCACCTCAATGATAATGATAATGCAGCACCTATTATATGCTAGGCACTAGTCTATAAAGGCTTAATGTGGACTAAACCACTCACTTCATCCTCATAACAGCCTAAAGGGTACTATAACTATCACTTTTTAACTACAGAGAAAACAGCCATAGTGAAAGAAAACTGTCATGGTCATAACAGCTGGCAAGTGTGGTGCAGGGTTTAAACACAAATAACCTGGCTCCAGAATCATTTTAACTTCTACACTATACTGCCTATGTTATAATATAGCCCCTACAGGCCCAAGAAAATGGAGTCCTGCCCCCCACCTTCAGTATTRGGGCATGAACTTTGGGCGCTTTACTGTTAAGCTACATCCCCAGTTCTTTTTTTGAGACAGCGTCTCCCTAAGTTGTTAAGGCTGGCCTTGAACTTGCAATACTCCTGCCTTAGCCCCCAGAGTGGCTGGGATCATAGGTGTGCACCACCACCACTGGTTCCCCTACCTTCTTTGTATCTTGAAGTCRGTTTCTTAACTGCCACGGAAAAAAAGCTAAACCCTATGTGCAATGTTCTAATGTAGCTGGATGCAGGGTGGGAAAGGAAGGGGTTTCTGCGACAGAGGAAAGACTCACACCCACCCAGGCTGGTGGAGGGCCAAGGCATGAGGAGAAACATGAAGGATGGTTATCATGGTCCCTCTMTTTAAAAGGTGATCGGGGGTGGAGAAAAGAACACTGGGACCTGAAGCTCTGTGGAGGAACGGGCTGAGCATTGGTCACGCCACTCTGTYCCAATTTCACTAGAGATGTGAGAATGACTATCTTCAGGATGGTGTTGGATGGTCAACTGTCTGGGGGCAAAGGAGGGCCCTAGAATGAGACTGGATCTTAGAGTTGTTATTAATAATAAAATACCTTAAACAGGAACGGAGGAGCCAAGCTCTCTGCTTAGGGCTTCGCTGACATCACCTAGTCTGATTTCCACAAAGAAGTCCGCCAAGTAGAGTTGATTTTTATCCTCATTTTACAGAAATGAACTGTTGCGAGTTTGAGGTAGAGGATGGGGCCAGATCTCCAAAATCATAAAGAGGAAAGGGGGCCAGGACTTAGGAGTCAAGCAAGGAACTCGACCCTAGAGTCAACGGGAAGGTGGCAACTTCAGAGTTATAAGGAGGGGGACCGCCCCCAGGTCAAAGGGGGTAGACCCGCGAACCCCACAGGCCGTTGGGGGTTGGGGTTCAGATTCGTGAATCCAGGAGAGGAGGCCGGATCGCCTCCCGTTGGGGCCGCGCGGAGGCGGGGCGCGGAAGGATCCGAGCGGGCCGTGCTGCGCCGCCCCCTGTATATCTGTCCCCAGTCCCCGAGGTTGCCTCATTCCCCGTCCTCTGATCAACAGCCTCTCCTCACGCTACCGAGACGCCGCCTCCSCCCGCGTAGCCTCGGCCATGGCTCTGTAGCCGCGACCCGTTAGTGCCCCCGGCTCCTCTCCGCGCTTACCGCGCCAACGCTCTCCGCTTCCACCGTCTTTCTTCAATCGAGGCAGCCGCCGCCTCTCCTTTCCACAGCCATGGAGTGAGTAGCCGCTCGCGCCTCTCTTCAACTGCCTTTCCCGCCCTTTAGCAGCTCGCGGCACTCCAACAGGGCCTTAGGGTGGGGAGACGCCGGCAGGGAATCACGGTCGCGCAGGCGCAGAAGAGGGACGACGGCCGTCGGCGCGCGGCTGAGCATGCGCACTTGGCCCGAGTGGTGGGGGGAGGGTGAGTTCTTTCAGGGAGTTGCTGTTTAAGGTCGGCCCGCGTGCGATTGCGCCTGCGCACCAGCCTCCAGAAGGGGTAGTTGTTTTTTTCCTCTGAACGATTTCGTCCACGCGCGGTGCTCCTGCGCATGAGCCCACCAGAACCCTGTACTATGAGGGGTGGGCTATAAACGGTTGCACATGCGCATTGATCCCCAGGGCGGCTGAGGCCTGCAAGAACAATGAACGACTCYAGGAACGGAGCATGCGCTTTAACGCTCGGCAAGAGAACCGCACGAGGGGTGGGGGTTGGGCTGCTGTTCTCGGCCCCTCCCTTTCCGTCTCCCGGTCTCCACGTGGCTCGTCTGGCTCACAGTTTTACTCCCTTATTTCAAGCAGACATCTGCTGGGGCACGGAGTAGCCTAGATTGACAGTACTGAGGGCGGGGCGTAGGAGCCACCTGTCATTAAGGGGATGGAGCTAAGTCCACAGCTTTAGCGAAGAGGCTCTTAGGGGAAGTCCTTGTGAGGGGGGGGGGCTTGTGGGGACAGCCGAAGTCGCCTTAAAGTTGAAAGAGAAAAGTGGAATTGGAGTGGATGACCTTGATGAAGGGACAGGGCATGGAGAATTCCCCTGGGAACTGATTTGGGATGGAATCTAGGAAGGGAATTGGGCCTAATGGAAGTTTTTTAGAGGAAAGAGCATGGCTGGAAGAAAATTCCCCTGGGATTGAATTTTTTTATGAAGAATATTATGAAGTGGGTGGGAGGGGCTCAAGGTAATTCCCTTGAGAAACCATTAGGGTTCTGTATCGGGGGAAGAGGTGGACCTTGGGGAATCAAAAGAAAAGAATTCCCTTGGGAATGGGTGGGAGTCAGAAATTTGGGGAAAGAAAGGGCAGATTTAGAATTCAGAAGGGACAAGACTTGGTTCCAAACCTCCCTTGGAAGGAGGAGGGAGGAGCCCCATTGGCATGGGGTGTGGCTTGGTTTTCCTTTCACTGTGACATGATAGCCTCTTGTCTCACGTGCAGGTACTCCACTTTTGCCTTGGTGCCTGTCTTTGCCCAGCTGAGCAGCCCACAGAGCCTCCTCCCAGCTGTTGGTGTAACCTCTTCTGCCTTCGGTGCCCAGCGCCTGTGCCACAGTCATGTCACTCCTGGCGACCCTGGGGCTGGAGCTAGACAGGGCCCTGGTCCCAGCTAGCGGACTGGGCTGGCTGGTAGACTATGGGAAACTCCCCCTGGCCCCTGCCCCCCTGGGCCCCTATGAGGTCCTTGGGGGAGCCCTGGAGGGCGGGCTTCCAGGGGGAGGAGAGCCTCTGGCAGGTAAGGGCAGGTGGATTTGGAATGGAGTGTGCTAGGGGCTTGGGGGTGGGGGAAAGGAAGAATTCATCATTCCTTTACTTGTTCATTTGATGAGTATTTATTGAGGGCCTACAATGTGCCAGGCACTGTTTAGGTGCCAAAGATAAAGCAGGGAGCAAAAGTAACATGATCCCTGTCCTCTTGGAGCTCACAGTGTAGTGGGGAAACAGGCAAGAGACAAAAGATGATGTATTGGGAGAAGTGGAAAACACAGCAGTCACTTAAAAATGAGGCCCCACTCCTCCCCCCACCTTCTTCCCCCCACAAGCATGTTCCCTCCTCCTCCCCTTCCCCACTTTTGACCTCCCCCAGCCCTCTGTCCTGGATTCCCTTGACCTGCTAGCCATCTCCTGCTGCAGGGAGGTTGAGCAGGGGGATGTGTGCTTGATGCCCCTCGCCCCACCTCAGCAGCCTCCTGGTTCAGAGTTCAGGTAGCCAGGAAACCACTAAGTAGGAGGTCATGTTTAGACGGAGGCCTAAAGGATGAGAAGAAGTAAGCATGAAAAGACCAAAGAAAGAACATTTCAGGGGAGAGAAGAGCATATGCAGGGATCCTGATGCAAAAATTAACATATCCATTACTATATCCCAAATGCTTGGCACATAGTGGGTTTTCAATAATTACTAAATATCCAGATATGGTAGCATGTGCTTGTGTTCCTAGCTGCTTGGGAGGCTGGAGGCAGGAAGATTGTGGAGCCCAGAAGTTCAAGGCTAGCCTGAACTAGACCCAGTCTCAAAAAAAGGAGAAATGAAGAAAACTGAAATGGTGTGTGTGTGTGTTTGGGTGTGATGTGATCTTGCTTGCCTTTTAAGAATAGAGAATAAATTGGAGAAACTACAGATATAGGCCTTCAGGAAAGAGTGTACCAGATGATTGAAAAAATGGTTGGTTGACTGTTTTATTGACAATGGGGTCATTATTTGGTTGACTCTTTTGTTCTTCAACTAAAATTAGTTAATGGGTTGATTGGTTAGTTGATTGATTCCTTGATGGTTGGTTGGATGACTGATTGGTTATTTGGTTGACTGGTTCATTTGTTCCTTTACTGTGTGGCTTGTTGACTGGTTTGATGACTTTAGTTGGTTGACTGGTTGAATAAGACAAATGAGCCTGAGACAGACATATAAGTGATCACTTGATTGGGTGGAGGACCCAGGAACTCAGGGCACTTTATGTTCCCCCTCCACTCCCTAGGTGACGGCTTCTCTGACTGGATGACTGAGCGAGTTGACTTTACAGCCCTCCTCCCCCTGGAGGCTCCCTTGCCCCCAGGTGCCCTGCCCCCACCTTCCCCACCTCCCCCTGACCTGGAAGCCATGGCTTCTCTGCTCAAGAAGGAGCTGGAGCAGATGGAAGACTTCTTCCTTGAGGGCCCACTCCTCCCTCCACCTTCACCACCACCACCACCCCCACCCTCCCTCCCCCTCCCCTTCCCCACTTTTGACCTCCCCCAGCCCCCTGCCCTGGATACCCTTGACCTGCTGGCCATCTACTGCCGCAGCGAGGTTGGACAGGGGGATGTGGGCTTGGTGCCCCTGGCCCCACCTCAGCAGCAGCAGCAGCAGCCTCCTCCTCCTCCTCCTCCTCCTCCTCCTCCTCCTCCTCCTCCTCCTCCTCCTCCTCAGTCCTCTCGCCCAACTCCCTATCCAAATCCTGCTACCGCCCGAGGGGACCGCAAGCAGAAGAAGAGAGACCAGAACAAGTCAGCAGCTCTGAGGTACCGCCAGAGGAAGCGGGCAGAGGGCGAGGCCCTGGAAGGCGAGTGCCAGGGGCTGGAGGCGAGGAACCGGGAGCTGAGGGAGAGGGCTGAGTCGGTGGAGCGGGAAATCCAGTACGTCAAGGACTTGCTCATCGAGGTGTATAAGGCCCGCAGCCAGAGGACCCGCAGCAGCTAGGGGCTAGGCCTTTGGGTTCTAGGGGCTGCTCATCAGCTCAGGTCCATTTTTGTCCTGGGGCTGAGGTGGGAGGAGGGGTCCTCCTGCATCCCTTGGCCTCTGTCTTTATTCTGCTCCCCCCACACACCTGCTTTTGTCCTTGTCTCCTCTTGCCTATTCTGGATTTTGTGCCCCTCATGGGAATGTTTAGCCTTAGTCAACATAGACACCCACCACTACAGTGAGGAGCCAGAGCCCACAGGGAGCTCAGAGCAGTGGAAGCCAGGAGCCCAGCTCTCTCAAATTTCAAATTAGTGGCTTCTTGCAGGTGCCCTTGGTGGGGTGGACTGATTACAAGACAGAGCAGGCTTGTGAGGCCAGGAAGACATGCAGGGAGACTGTGCAAATAAAACCCAAGTGGGGGGAAGGGGACCCATGTAATATAGGTGAAAAAGCAAGCCAAGTGTCCTTGGGAATCATTTCCTGGAGGGAGCCACATACACAGAGCAGGCAGATCTGCAGGCCAATGGGGAGGAAGGGGGATGGCTATAGTTAGTGACTGGGGGGTCATTTAGCTCTGGGAGAAAAATCAGTGTTTTGTGAAGGTTTGTGGGGAGGGGCTGCATCTAGGTGAGGGGGTGTGATCCTTTGGGAGATTGTGAGCAGAAATAAAAGTGGAGTTTTCTCTGACCTGTGTGTTTCGTCTTTGGAGAAGTCGGGGAGTGGGACTCTTAGCACAGACAGTAATAAAGATTACAGACTTTGTTCGTTGTCATGTGCATACACTTGGCAGAAAAGTGACAAACTCAATTGGTAAAAATAAAAGAGCCACTTTTAGATTCAGACCATTTAATTGTTAACATTAACAGCAGAAGAAAAGCTAGCCACAGGTGCCAGGCCCCATGACCTTTGTCATGCATGTCAAAAAATAACAACACAAGGGGCTGGGGATATAGCTCAGTTGGTAGAGTGCTTGCCTTGCATGCCAAGGCCCTGAGTTCAATCCCCAGCACCAAAAAAAAAAAAAAAAAAAAAAGAGAAAGAAAAAGAAAAGAAAAGAAAGAAAGAAAGAACAACACAAAACCAGAAAACTGGGCCACTGCAGTGAGTCAGGGGTGACCTCTGGCTGACTGCCCACCCACCCATCTTTCACGTTCTGGAGGATCACGAGGTGTATTGCCAGGAATGAGTCACTGTGGATCCAGCTTCCTGTGTGGCCCCTGTGCCTGGGTTTGAGATTACTATAGATCTTGGTGGAGACATTCCCCTGTATTTGTTGAAGGCTTACTATGTGCCAAGCACTGTTTTAGGTACTTAATGAGCATTATCAGTGAACCCAAGAGGAAGGTATGGTTAGTTAACTTTTGGATGAAGAGACAATCACTCAGTCCATCTGTGCAGTTCCATCTGCCAAGTGCTGGTGGGGAGGGCACAGGTGGGCACAGAGTGGTGAACAAGTCATATATTTCATTCATCCTGTTGGGGAGACCATTACATCAAGTCACTTGGCCAATTATATCAGTTCCAAATGCTTTTGGCTGCAAGTGACAGTTCTGACCATGGGTTGCATAGAACAGAAGTTAATTTTTCTCAAGTCCGCAGTGGGGAGCTGCTGGCACTTCTCAGAGGCTCAGGTCTCTGATTTTCTTGGCCGTTGGTCAAAACCTAGAGGCCACAACTGCAGGCAGGAAGTCAAATCTTTCCTAGGATATTTAGCAGCTTCTGCCTCTCATTATTTAGAGTTATGGCACTTGGATATCCTAGCTACAAGGGAGGCTGAGAATGCATGTATGTATCTAGTGCCTCTACTGCAGGTAAATTGGAGAGGGTAGGGAATGGATGTTGAATGTGGGTAACAATGTGTTTTACCCTCAAGACGACTTATTAATGGGCCAAAGATTTTGACTTGGGCACCCTAACTGAGCAAGATGTGGGAATACTAGCTAAGGAAAGGAAAATCCAGTGTGTACTTACTGGGCACCCTCTCTACGTGCCAAGCATGGTCTAGACACAGCCTAGAGGAGTGAACTGCACAGACGTGGTTCCTGTCATGGAGCTCACAGTTCAGTGGTGGAGGAATCAGCCAGACCACAGTGCACAGTTAATTCTGGGATGGTAAAAATATTTCCTTTTATGGTATTTAAAATTTTACTTGTGGAAAAATACATATAAAATTGATCCTCTTAACCATTTTTAAGTGTATGATTCAATATTGTTAAGTACAATTCATATTATTATTCACATTTTTGCATGACCAATCTCCAGAGCTCTTTTTCATCTGGCAAAATTGAAACTCTTTACCCATTAAGCCATAACTACCCGTTTCCCTTCCTTCTGCCCCAGATGACCAGCCTCCCACTTTCAGTCTCTGAATTAGACTGCTCTAAATACCTCAGGTAAGTAGAACCTGACCTTTCTCCCTTTGTGATTGGCTTGTTTTGCTTAGCATAATGTATTCAAAGTTCATCTCTGTTGTAACATGTGCCAGAATTTCCTTCCCTCCTAAGGCTGACTGATATTCTATTGTATGTGGGTGTGCAAATTTCTCCAGACCCCACTTTCAGTTCCTTTGGGAATTGCTTGTTCAGTCTGAGGTCTTCAGTAGGTTGAATGGTGGCCCTCCAAAAGATATGCAGCACCCTAACCCCCAGAACCTGTGAACCTGACTTTATTTGGAAAAAGACAGATTTGGGCTCTAAATTCAATGACAAATGTCCTCTAAGGAACATGGAAGAGAGACAGAAGAGAGCCATGTGAAGGCCAAGGCCAAATTTGGAGCCATGTCACAAGCCAAGGAACTTCTGGAGCCACCAGAAGTTGATAAAGGAAAGAAAGGACTCTGCCCTAGAGCCTTAGAGGAAAGGCCTGTGCCATCTCCTCGATTTCACACTTCCAGTCTTCAGAACT